TACTGATGTGTTATTGTTGCTTGCACACAAATAACACCTTAAAAGCAACAAAATAACAATGAAATTACGTCTCGATGTTATTTCGTGATATGTAAGTGTTATTTCATTTCAACATAAAATGAAAAAAATTATCATGTGATCTATAATAATTAATGTAGCATAATAACTCGAAGACTTTGTAAGTCCGCTAGCTTCTTCAGTTCCCTTGCGACCTTTCATTGTTGCGTGTTAGCAAGAGGAAAAAAAAAACCAAAACTTTGAATATCACGAGTCCGAACGACGTACTGCTCAGCTTAAAAAATGTCGACGAGTGCTTGGTCTTGGCGCAATGTTGCGAGGAAGCGAAACCGACCTTGCGATGAAGGCAAAATCATCCAAAAATCCTAGGCTTTTCGGTGGTGGGGCTGAAGACCCAAGGCGGGTCACACGCGAAATGAGTGTTTTTTTTTTATTTTTTAGGTGGTGAGATCTGGTTAAACACATGACTTATTTACATTGGACTCTGGACGTAACTCTGCATTCGGAGTCCGGACATAATATTTTTCCCCTCTACACGCAACAAACTTAGGAGGAGTGGAAAACTGAACAAGAACATTTGCCAAGTCTGGATCCTTTAGCAAAGTGCTTAATGTAAATAATCAACCATGGTTAACTGAATTAGGTATGACATTTGACCTTTGAGATGTGAACTCCCAAGCTTCTATGTACTCCAGAGCATTGCATGCAAATAAAGATGCCCAAGTTTACACTTGCCCATCGTGGACCCCTGCAATAATTTGTACCAACGACGAAATCAAATTTTACATTTCAATAAAACAAATAAAAGTGAACACAAAATCATCTCAGGGAATAATAAGCTTATGTTCAGAAACAGAACCATGTGCCTTCATAAATAGGTACAGAAATACATTTCTCTCTCAATGCATAAGTCAAAACCTGATAAGTATCCCTTCTTTCACTTCATCTCTTTCTTGCCCCTCTCATCCCTTCAACACCCACCCAACAGCATCACCAACCCCCCCACACCACGCAACAACAACCCCCTCCCCCTCCCCCTCCCCTCCCCTCAAAAAGGCTCTTTTCTATATATATATATATATATATATATATTTTGAAAGCCCAAAAACGAATATGTTAATAAAAGGAAATATATAGATAGGTTGGATGAAAGTGTCTAAATTGACATCCTAATCACCCGACATACAATACACACGTAGAAAATACATGTATATAAAAAAAAAGATAAAAAAGTAGACATAGAAAAATGTACGGCAATAGTCTGCAAACACTCGTAGATTCAGTTAGCATGCGAAATATCTAATTTAGCCTTGCTTTTGCCTCTGGTCCTAGGACGAGAGCCAACTAACAAATTGTTAAGTTTACTACTATTACCCGAAACAACTAATGTATTATCCATCAAGTTTGGTAATAGATATCCATTCTTCTTCTTCCTAGATGTATAAACCTACCATTCCTCATCCGAGGATTGACTCATTTGATTATTGGATTGGTCCAAAGGTGGTCGGACAGGTGTATGTTGTTGCACATTATGAGTCCCATGTGCCTGAGTAACAATAACAATTTTCTCAATCTGATGAAGCGGTAGAAACGCAGTAGAAATATTGCCACCCGTTACATCACTGATAGGTTCTAAGGCAGGCGAAGTCTGAAATGTCTCCCCCGCCCCCACGAAAGGAGGTTCCATATACAAAGAACCTACATCATGAGCATTGTGTGGAGGCTGAGTGATTGACATATTACTCGCGAGGATAGTGACATATTCAGGAGTATCATTCTGATGATCAATAGTGTCAATAACTTAGAGCAGATCAGGAGAAGGGGGAATCACTGCCTTTGGCTGAGCACTTTGTTTTTTTGGTTTGAGATGGTGTGTAGATGGTGACATTGAGAAATAGAGTGACCGAACATACGACAATTCGAGCAATACGAAGGGAAAGACTCAATCACAACCTTTTGCCAATATCCATGGTGTTATGTGCCTAATAGAATTTCCTCAGAAGCGATTGAAGTCCATTTCAAAAAGCACCCTGGCTTCAGAGGGACAAGAAATATTAAAAATAGGAATGTCTGTTTTGAGCGACTTATCATAGATTGAGGCAATAGAGTACAACACTTTTTGAGTAAAATATTGAATTTTCAGGTCAGAGAGGCGAATTTAAACCAGAATGATTGGTGGTTCCGTCTGTGGGTCAAAATCCACCGACTCTTTCAAAATTTTTATTGTTCTGTTATCATTCCAGATTAATCTCCTAGCAAATAAACATGTGTAATCCTCTTCATTAATAAATTGAATAAGGATATGCATTTCATCTAAAAGTCCAATTTTTCACTCCCCAACAAGGTGCATAGACTCAAATTTCTTACGAATAAACTCTATTTTGGGATGATCATAAAGAAATTTCCCGACCAAATTCAGACGACAGGAGAAAGCAAGCTTATTACATTCAGCTTCCGTAAAAAAGATGGTTGACTTCCTATTCTTCCTACCAGGTTTCTTGATGTCCTCCGCCAACTCAAACGAAGGAGGGAAGAAGCACGATTTAGGAGTACCTGAGGCATGTACACCCGCAAGGGCAACAACATACGATCTGTTCGAAGCCATCACCAAAAGAGGGAGGCGCGACGATAGGACAGCGAAGTTACAGTGGACGAAAGAGCAAAAGCTGAAAGGGGGATCAACGACGACCCCTTCCAAGTCGAGCAGAGGGCGGAAGTGCAAAAGTGCGAAACTTTTTGCTTCGAGCTCGAGGAAAAACGAGACGAGCCCGCGCCCAAGAAACGTTCTTCAAAATGGCGACGACAACGAAGGACTGTGGCGAGGGATGCAGCGAGGCAGCGCAATGAAACATACCTTCCAAACGACGACGACAACGAAGGACTGCGGCGAGGCAGACACAACGAGACAAACTAGAGGAAGGATCTTCGTGCGTGACTATGCGAGAAGACGCTAGGGTTCACCATGAGGCAAAACCTTAGCAGAGCCTAGCACGAGAGATATATATATATATATATATATATATATAAGCAGAAATACACACACCCACACGCGCACACGCGCACACGCACACACGTACTTAAAGAAAGGTTTTTTTTATTATGAATATTTGAATATAAATTATTTGATCTAACATTATTTAATTTCTCTTATAAATGATAATATTTAACATTAATTAATTTTTTAGCTAATTTAATTTTGTTTAAAATTTAATAATAATGGTATGTTTTGGCTTTCCATGCATGAGCATGGGGTAAGGGAGCCGAAGTTAAGCGACCCCATAGGTTGTTCATGTTCAGCTCGTTTGAATTTTTTCTTTTTGAAATAACCTCGTGTTTGAAATCACTTGTGATTAACCTATTCATGTTTGGTTTGATTAAATTCAAATTAGGTTATGTTCGGCTCGAATTCAAATTCGATCGGAGCACATTTTGCTTCTCATCGAGTCGACTCAAGCCCACATTTAGTTTTTTTTTTCTACTCAGCCATCTGTAGTCCGCTTTTAAAGAGCATTTGTATTCTTCTAATTATAGAATAAAAGATGTGGGACTAAAATTTGGGTAGGCGTCAGGTAGGGTGGGAGGTAGGGTGGGCGGGAACTGTAGGTGCTAAATTTTGGCAATATTTACATATGTATTATCCAATTCTCATGTATTTACATATCTAACACTTACATGTTGCGTCCATTAGCTAGAAGAGGATTTAAGGAGCATTTACATACATACCAACCAAATCCTATGTATTTACTTATTTAAGGCCTAAAATTATTTTTTTATAAATAATTTTTTTTTAAAGAATAAAAGTTAGCATTTTTTAAATGCAATATAAAAAATTAATATAAATAAATAATATTATTTAATAATTTAATTATTTTGAGCCAAAACGTTCCAAACACGAACAAATAAATCTTTGTTTGTGTTCGGTCCGTTTATAAGTAGAACTAAAAAAAAATGTTCGTGTTCAACTCGCTTACTTAACAAATGAATTGAACATGAACTACTTAACGAGCCGAACATGAGCTATTCACGAACTACCGTATAAACGAATTAAATTTCTCTCTCACAAATTTAATTATTTGAAGACCTTAATTTTTTTTATTTCTACTTTGTGAGCCATGTTCTTGTATTTGTTATCTTGATGTAAAACTTTTTTGATTGATTATCATATGATGAATTCTTGCTTCAAATATTTTTGCCCTCACTTTTTGCATGATTTCTTATTTGTTTATTTCTCATGTAATAGTTTCGATGGTATAAGTCTTATTTTTTAGATAGTTTTGATGCTTAGAATGCATTAGTGGAATATGCTTTTGAAAACTAGAGATGATTGAATAACTTTGATTACTCTCGAGGTGTCTTTAAATGATTTCATGGGATGTCCCATTCGTAGTTTGTCGTTGACTATGCATTTAAATAAATCAACTTTGCAGAGCATGAACGATGGTAAAAAGTTTCATTATCGTCCTCTTACAGTTGATTTGGATGTTTTCATGCATTTGTTTTGGTTGTCTTGTTCCAAAGTGGAAGGAAAATTGTTACAAAATTATTTCAAGTATTTTTTTTCTTGATTTTTTTTTTCTGTATTTATAATAGAGAAAAGTAGGTGTTATGTAGTTTGGGTTGGTAAGGGCCTTGGAAGTTGTTGGCATGCTCTTGAGTTGGAATCTTGCCCAAGTTATAATAAATCTCATCTTATCGACTTTGAGGTAGGAAGAAAATAAGAATAGAGAAAACCCTGGCTTGGTGATTGATCTTATTGAGAAGGGCGCTTTGATGGGAATGTTCTCCTTTAATTTTGGTTTGCATTTTTTGCTGTCAAGTCGGATTCCATAATTTCCAGTAAAAAAGATAAATTATATTCGAATCTTATTATTTAAACCCTTCCATCCTGTATACCCGTTACCTTCTCAAACAAGTAGATTTCTAATGTAAGGTGATGCAACTCCCTTCTTCTCTCATGTCATGACTTTGTGTTTATTGTGCAGCTATTGCTTGAAAATGTCTATCAAGCATTCGCTTCTATGAAATTTGAAGTCAAATCCACATTGGAATTTGTCTGCCGGGGCTATTATGTACACAAAGGGTCATGGGGTCATCTTTCCATGGCTATCCCAAAACAAAGAATTATAAGAAAGCTGTGATCTCTCTCGGCCAACTAGGATTAAAATGATTCATGTTTCCTTCTTTGCAAGCATAGTATTCTTTAATTTGCTGGCTGTAAGTGGACTAGAGTAATCATTTGCTTTATGGTATTATAGAAGTGTTATTGGCTCAAAGTCAGAGGACTTGTTTCTGGTTTAATGGCCCAAGAGGAAAAAGAGAGGCCTTGCTGTTGTGCAAACACTGGTGTGTGCCTGTGCTCTCCCACTCACCGGAAGACTGAATATAGCTCTAGTTCCTCAGGTTCCAAACCCCTGGAGTCGAGCGACTTGTTTTGTCGTGTGTGCCACTGTGTAGAATCTGACCTAAGAGGAGATGCTGCCTTACGTTTGTTGGACATTTTCCCTCCATTCGAAGCAATTTCTAAAATAAATAAGGTTGGTGAATTGACTGAGAAGTTTCCCAAAAGTGCTGCTGAAAAGGATGTAAATGATGGTGGAGAGAATTCTGGGTTAATTGAGTTCATTAGCCCTGATGGTGAGGTTTTTGTGTGTTCTGATCTGGAGTTCAGTTCATATGGTTATCAAAACACCCTAGTTAATCTTGGGTGCTCTTGCAAAAATGATCTCGCTCTTGCACACTATGCTTGTGCATTGAAGTGGTTTATTAGCCATGAATCCACTATTTGTGAAATATGCGGAACTGTTGCCAAAAATATAAGACCTAAAGACTTTGTAAAGATTGTGGCTTCTCTGAAGGAGTATGAATCATTAAGGGAAAAGACTGCGAGGGGTGAGCTGGCACAGATCCCTGCAGGGACAAATTCTGGTGTAGATCCTGACGCTTTAGCTGCTGTTAGGAGACAGAGACTCAATGAGGTCTCATTTTGGTTCAATCCCCAAAATAATGCAGTTGTAGTTCCACAGGAAGTTATAGCAGATCAGCCATCAAATGTCCCAACTGAAAGTACTGTTGCAGTGGAAAATCCAACAACAACGTGGGCAGTGGAAGGTACTGGGATTCTTGTTGCCACGGGTTTGCTAACCGTATCACTTGCTTGGCTTATTGCTCCTCATGTTGGCAAGGTTTGTTTTAATTCTGTTTGGCATTGGCTGCTTAATAGCTGATAATAACTGTTGTCATCCACCTTTCATTGGCATAATATAAGTTTGTTGATGGATTTTCGTATCGCTTAAAAAATAGGCATTATTATTTCACTTCCCAGTTTACGTTGATTTTTTTTCATGACCAAAATGCTTACCGAAATGCTTCGGGTATCCGATTGATGACTGCTGTGTGATCTCTCAAGTGGCAATAATATTTGTGCATTTTTTTTGCTTTCATTCCCTGTTCGATAACACTACTCATTATTTTGCTCGATAATGGCTCGATTATCATCATATGAAACAACCATGAACTTGAGTTAAATAGTCAAAGTGAAAAATTAAGCTTCACCATAAACACAAAAATTTGATTTGAGCTCGAGCTCGGCTCAAGCTTGAATTTTATAAATAAGCTCAAGCTTGAACCCAAAGGCTTGATTTAAGCTTGAGCTCGACTCGTGTTTGAATTTAATAAACAAGCTCAAGCTGGAACATAAACTGGCTCGGTTTGCTCTTTTGCAGCCTTGAGAAAGAGAGGTGGGAGGGAGTTGCGGGTGCCTCGATGGAATGAAGGATTTAATATTTTGCTTTTCATTTTTGTTAATATTGTAAAGTTGGGCGGGAGAGGTGCGGGATTTTGTGATTTTAACGAGATATGGTTCATATTTGTTAGGCATTATAATGCGAGATGATATGATTTGATTTGAGAAGGGGAAAACCATGAAAAAATTTGATTGGATTTTTTTAGATATATATGAATTAACTTTAGCAAAAAAATATTTATTTATATATTTAATTAGATAGTTAATAATGATGCTAAATTTCTTAATAACATATTTTTGTAAGTATTCTTGCTCAAAAGTTTTTTGTAGTGCACATATATCGAATTTTGTGTCTTCGCCTCACACTTGGATAATCTTTTGAATTTTCTTGTGCAACAACTACACCATCATGGATGCTCTTTGTAGCTATTTTTTATGTTCGAGTCATGTCAACACAATCTTTTTGCAAAACAATTGATAGTTGAATTGTTTTGATATTTTTTAATGCATTTCGAGCTGGACTTGCATAACGTGGCATCTAGTAGTCGGTTTTGTTGTGCTTGTTTTCTTGTGCAGCGATGCCGCCATTATGGATGCCCTTTTTAGTTATTTTTTATGTTCGAGTCATGTCAACACAATCTATTTGCAAAACAATTGATAGTTTAACTGTTTTGATATTTGTTATGCATTTCGAGCTGGACTTGCATAACGTGGCATCTAGTAGTCGGTTTTGTTGTGCTTGATCAAATCGATTACAAAATAATTATGAATTTAAACAGTGTTATTGCTTATAGTTTACATTGTATTATGACTTGTCAATCAATATTTATCTAGGATCAGTGCTATCCGTGTTATGTTTATGCAAGATATGATGGATTCTCTTCACACTTGGATAATCTTTTGAAATTAGTTATTTTTTATGTTTGAGTCATGTCAACACAATCTATTTGCAAAACAATCTGGATTCTCTTCACACTTGGATAATCTTTTGAAATTTTCTTGTGCAGCGATGCCGCCATTATGGATGCCCTTTTTAGTTATTTTTTATGTTCGAGTCATGTCAACACAATCTATTTGCAAAACAATTGATAGTTTAACTGTTTTGATATTTGTTATGCATTTCGAGCTGGACTTGCATGATGTGGCATCTAGTAGCCGGTTTTGTCGTGCTTGATCAAATTGATTACAATATAATTATGAATTTAAACAATGCTATTGCTTATAGTTTACATTGTATTATGACTTGTCAATCAATATCTATCTAGGATCAGTGCTAGCCGTAATATGTTTATGCAAAATATGATGGATATCACATGGTTGTTTTAATCTGCAAGTAATTTTATTAATAACTCTAATATGATTCATCTTAATTCCTTGATGTTTCCCCTAATTATGTTCCTTCCATAAAAGCTACACTGTAAAAGTTGGGATAAGGAGTTTAATGTGCCCCTTAATCGAACCATTAAAAAAGCTAGATCAATTAAGCACTGTTGAAATTGAAGAATGAGAAAAATTAATATGATCTTTGAAAATGTCAAAAAAGCATAGCCAAATTTAGGAACAATAGGTCTATTAATAAATACATGCTTTAGACATTCAATATGATAACAACACTGACATTACGAAGCTAAATAAATACCCTTACTTTGCAGTAATGAATCTGCAAAAATAAAACCATGGATTATATGCAAACATAAGATTGAATATGAAACATAAATATTATTACTCCTAATAAATTGTAGAAGTGGATGGACAAGTAGAAATAAATTTGATAGCATGCCAAACTTAGAAACGAAGCACCCAAAGATGATTTAGTAAAAAGAATGACATTTTTTGAAGAAATTAAAAGGAAACATTTATAGTTTTATCAATCCTCAATGAAGGAAAATCCATCAACTTAGGCACATTCCAATGAAAATCTAATTAGAACTCTTAAACTAATATCTTCAATAGTATTCGAACCTAAAAGCCTGTCAATGGAACCAATTCCTAACCAAATATCTTGCCAAAAGGAGCAACAAACATTGCCGATACCTTATTGAATAAACTTTTATGCTTCCTCTTTAATGTTGCACAACCATTTCCAAATAGGGAAATCACCAATTTTGTTAAAGAATGATAGAAGATGTCTATTTGAATAATATTCAGTACCTATGAAAATTGCCTGTAAATAATCTTTTTTTCTACAAATCAATCATATAATTATTATGTAAACAATTTTACTAATAAATCCTTTTAAATCAAAGACTGCCCTTTGAAAATTTGCCATAATATTTAAAACAAGAAGCCAAATTAATTTTTTTATTAGTGGAAGTAGAGCCTCATAAAAAATTGTTAAAAAAATTTTCAATTCTACTACAAATCAAAATTTTTAGACGCAAGGTTTGTAATAAATGATAAGGTATGGAATATATAGTACTTTGAATAAGGGTGTACTTACCACCATATGAAAGCATTTTAATTCCTAACCAGATAATCTCTTTTTAATTAATAAAATTAGTTTATTGAATAAAAATATTTTTTTCTGCCTTTATTCAAAGGAACACCCAAGTATTTAATAAGTGAGAAAATGTAATAATATGATTAATAAACCAAAGGAACACCCAAGTATTTAATAAGTGAGAAAATTTAATAATATGATTAATAAACAATATATGAGTTGTTTTCCTATCCTTAGTGTTAAGGAAACCACTTCTATTAAACTTAATCATTTGACCATCATACTCAAAAGATGAAAGGAATCTTTTCAGAATCATAAAAGTAGCAATACTCCCAATGAAAAAAATCATCAACAAAAGATGAATGTGAAATAGGGAAATCTTTCTTTGGTTCTATAATTTGAACGAGGTTGAACATTGAACGTATAAATCAAACCTCATATAAAAAATTTCAATGTAAGCCATCATAAGCCTTTGAAATGTTTAGTTTGTAAATTATATTATGACCATGTGTTTTAATATGCAAATCATGAGTCAATTCTCGGCCCAGTATTATATGAAAATTTCAAAACTCGGATTGAACTACGACGATCTTTAACAAAACAGCAACAAAACTTTATCCCAATAAGTGGGGTCAGCTACATGAATCTTTTTTCTCCACGGCATCCTATTGAGGGTCATATTTTCAATTAATTCTAGTAAATTAAGACTGATTGATTTTTAAAATATTTTCTTAGACAAAAATCCAAAATTTTAGAAATGATATTATTAAACACAATACAAAGACTAATAGGCCAAAAATCCATCCATATTTTTAAATCTTTCAATTTAAAATAAGAGCGATGGATGTTCTAATAGAATCTTTATGTAATTGACTATAAAAAAAAAAAAGAAAAGAAAATGTATTGCTTCTTTTGCATACTATACTTAATCACATCCCGACAATTTTGAAAATACAAAATTAAAAAACATCAGGGCCCACAATAGTATCTTTATCCAATATTAAAAATGACCAAATGGGTCTCTTTAAAAGAAGGAATGTTAAAAAACATTATTTTTCTAAGAATTAACTTTGGGAATCAACTTAAGATCTTGAATAGTAAAGTTACTAGACAGTTTAAAAATATTTAAAATAATCAAATGCAAAATTATCATTGGAAATAACATCAGCGAGCAACTCACCATTACAAAGTTTAATTTTATGAATTTGATTTTAAGATTTCGTCCTTTTAACAAAATTATGAAAATACTTTGTAGTTTTATCACCTAAAAGAATTTTAGAACTAAATTTTTGTTTGTAATGAGTTTCAACAATTTCTTGAGGTTCAAGTATGTGCTTTTTTGTCTTGAAAAAAGTTAGCAGAATTGATGCTGCTTTGACAACCAAGAAAAAAAAAAGTTCTCTAAGGGTCCTTTTGGGGCAGCTTATTTGGTGCAGTGACGTTTTGAAAACGCACCTGACCTGTTTGGGTAAATTGCGTTTTGATAGATTATGTGTTTTCAAAACGTTTAAAACAGCGTTTTCACACTGCACCTATTTAGGTGCGATGATAGCTTTCTGGTAGCGGTTTGGCTTTTCTAAAAAAATAAAAATTTGTATCTGCCACCGCATCTAGCCTATCAACAGATTATTTTTAATTCAGATTATTTTTAATCAGCTTATCAGCGAATTATTCAATAAGCTTTAGCTGCCCCAAACGGATCTTTAAATGAAGTACATTCTATTTTGCTTCTAAAATTTTATCAAAAAGATTTGCAAAGCAAGTTTTATTCCGTATTCCAACGACTTGCTCAAGTCTCTTAAATTTTTAGTCATAATTTATCCATCACAGACAAGTGACTGGATGGGAATAAAAGAGCATTCAAATTAGTGTTCACAATTTTTAAGGAAAAGCATTCTTGAACCACACATTTTGAAATCTGAAAGGAACCATACCTATGAAACAATGATTTTTAATTTTAAGCATTTATGAAGAATGATCAGAACCAATAATGCTCGGATGATTAGCATATGCACTTGGAAAATGATTCAAGCAAAAGGAATTAACAAATATTCTATGAAGACCAATATATTACAGTTATTAGTAAAATTATGTTCTTTAAAACCAACATCCTTAAGAGCACATTTCATATAGCATGAATATCATCCATTCAAGGCCTCTAAATACAATTGAAAAAAGAAACAATGTAATCCCATAATAATTATCTACCAACTCTAGTATAACTTGCATGAATAAGATAATAATAAAAAAAAAAGAAGAACTAAAAACTTTTAAGTACAATGCTTGTACATAATCATTATAAACATGTATTAGAAATTCCTCCTTCCAAAAGCACAAAATCTTATTAGAACAATTAGCACATGAACCATAAAAACCAAAAAATTTTTATCTAAGAAATTTTTCTACAAGATATAAAGTATTACAAATGAACCAAAATTCTCATATTATGAATCCAGCAAAGGTTTTTATTCCAATCCAAAGATTGAAGATCCATGAATTAAGGAATGGAATTAGTTTCTGCAAATTTTTGCTAGTACCATCCAATAATAAACGATTCAATTTGTTAACTTTCTCATTGTCATTGCTTCTACTGCATTGGTATTTCACTGCTGGTTCTCCATTTTGAAAAAGGTTTTCTTGAATGTGCAGAAAACTGCAAGAAATGGTTTCCATATTCTTCTTGGAGGTATAATTGCTTTGACAGTTGTGATCTTCCTTAGATTTGTAAGTTCTAATTTTCCCCTTTATTAATTTGGTAGTTTTCCTATTTTTCTGTTAGTGCTTTTCTGATATTTCACAAGTGCAGCAATATTGTATGATAAAAGGTCTTAGCTTGTCTCATTACTGGCCTAACACCTTAAACAATTTAAGTGGCTCTGCACTTGATGTTTAAATTGAGTCAAAATTTTCTATTTTCTTAAATCTCCACAAACTATTATTGAGGTCTTCTATTTATTACCTATTTATATTGAGACTTGCAATTTTTTTATTTGCCGGGTATGAGAATAAATTTAATAGAGGGGACTTCAACTATTAGATGTGGAAGATTATTTTTATCAAAGAAAGCTTTTAATCTTTTAAAAAGATCAACACCTTTTGCTAATGATCTAGCTGAGTGGGAGTTGATGGACAGGTGAAGGCAGATAAGCATTCAGGTTTCTTACCTGTCCCTAACCAAGAATATTACATTTGTCATTCTCAGTGAAAATACCAGAGCAAGATGATGAAGGAAGACATTATTAGTTTCAGTATAAATTTTTAATCTCAAAATTTATTTTTAAATCCCTTATTGTTGAGCACGTGAAAGAGTTAAACTTGCTCACAAGTTGGTTAAGCTTTGTGGATATCATTTTTGTCGTTATTATCAAAAAGATTCTACACTCTAGTGACTTTGGCATCAACACATCATATGGATCAAATAAAATTAAACTAAATGATGCTAGAAATCTTCTCCTCGGTGAAGAAATTTGGTGGAGTAAGGCAGGTGAAATCCCTTTGCCTTCTACTTTGTATAATGATAACTATAGTTTGACCTCTAACTGAAGACAATTGTCAAGCAACAGGTAGATATAAGTCTTGAAGTAAGAGCCATCACACACGCTATAAATAAATCCCAAAGTTTCTCAAGTGTGTTAGAAATGTAGAATGCTAAGACACATAATAAAGTTATGGCCAAAGAAAGCAGGAGTAAGTGCGAAAATAGAAAAAAAAAAGAATGTTGATATGGATGACATTCAAGATGTATTGATTTTCAGTACTAATAGTTTAAAGGAATCATAGGCATTGATCTCAGGTCTATCCTTTAACTCTTCCGCTTATAATGAACTAATTTTAAATTACACTTGAAATTATCAGAAGGTATTTATGCTTGATGATGAACCTTTAGTCATTTTGGGGATCAGTGATATGATACATAAATATGCAAATGAACTACGTGAAAGCTGCATAAAGTTAGGCACATTCCTGACTTAGGTGGTACCTAATCTCAATACATTAGCTCGTTGAAGAATGGTGTAACACCATGTTCATTGTTTTTATTTGAAACGTTGCTACACAGGTAATGGTGATAGCACGATGTAACAAAACTAGCATTTTTAATACAACTCTAACCACATGACTAATGTGGGTTGCAAGAAGCTTGAGTGTGGATTCAAACATTTGGCAACAAAGATTAGGCTATGCGAGCAAGAAAGTCTCAAGATTGTACACTCCAAAGACAATTTCATAGATTTAAAATCTCTTAAACCTAGCTTTTATGAAGATTGCATTCTGGAAATGCAGATACTGTTCAATTTTTATATGATCTGGAATATTGCTAAGAAGCAAGAAGCTAGTGTTGATACACTGATATCTTTGGATCATCCCTATGGCATGATTTACTTAACACTTTTATAGAAAACTTTTTGAAGTTTTGAATTTATTTCATCAAAAAATCAATCAACATTATTGCTATTTTTGTAAGATGGAAAGCCTAGATGAAAATGAAATATCTAAGATTTGACAATGGAGAATGTGATGGGTTATAGTTTAGAATTAATTGCTTTTGAAGTGGCATTAGTATAAATAAAAAGAATCCCAAGAAGCTCTACAAACAGTCACTGAAAGAATGAAGATGAGGCTACGATAGATATTTTGTGCTCTTTAGTAAGCACCATGATATACCTCATCAATCTAGGATCACCTGTAGCTCTTGATCTTAATGCTTGAACCAAAAATGAGGTATGCCTTTAATATTTGAAAGTTTCCTTTTTTCCCATTTCTATGCATTGATTAAATTGAAGACTAGTTCGACTTTATTGGTTGTGATGTTGATGATTTTGGCTACAGATTCTGAGATCTTAGGGTATAAAACAAACTTTGGGAGGAAAATACTAGCTTGCTTTATTACTCAGATATAGGGTACATATATATAGAGAAACTAAATCCTCTTGATTTACAAACTTACCAGATATATCTAACCTATATTTGGAAGTAAAGGTCATGAAATAAAAATAACAAAAAACATAAATAGGAAGAGAATAAAGCTAGTTAAGAGGTTTTAAAAAATATCTCCAAGTCCAACATTGGGAGATTGAAAGGTGGTCAGTTCTCGGATTCTCAAAATCTTATTAGATTTTACACACTCCCACTCAAGCTGAAGTCCAACATTGGGAGATTGAAAGGTGGTCAGTTCTAGGATTCTCAAAATCTTTTTAGATTTTACACACTCCCACTCAAGCTGGGTCGTAGATGTTGTAGAGGTCAAGCTTGATATTGAACTCTGAGAAGGTAATTAAAGGAAGAGCTTTGATGAAGACATCAACAACTTGTTGACATGTCGGGATGTGGCTGAGTTGTATAATTCCATCATTAAACTTTTCAGAAATGAAGTGTCTATCAACTTCAATATATTTAGTCCTATCATGTGCAAATGATTCTTGGAAATACTTATAGCAGTTTGACCGTTACAAAACATATGCATAAGCTTATTGCTGGTAAACCCTAATTCCCTTAATGATTTTTGAATTTGGATCCCCTCACAAATTTCATAGGCGAGTGCCCTGATTCTACACTGCTTTTAGAAACAACTTATATTTTTACTTCTACATGTAACCAAATTTCCCCATACGTAGGAGCAATAACTTGTGGTGGACATTTTGTCAGTGAGTTCCACATTCCGGCTAGCATCAGTGTAGGATTCTACGTCTATGTTTCTAATTTTCTCAAATATTAATCCATAACTGGGAGTCTTTTTGAGGAACATCAAAATCTTGTACACCATCTCCAAATATTCTTCATTTAGGTTATTCATGTGTTGGCTCACAATCCTGACATGATATGCAATATATGACATAGTATGTTATATATATACGAGTTTTTCTACCAATCTTTCTTATCTTCTCTTATCCACAAACATACTTTCTACTCTTTTGTTAGACTTATTGTTGGTATCCATTGAAGTATTAGCAGATTTGCTTCCAATAATTCTTATCTACTTTAGAAGATCTTGGATATATTTTCTCTGTGATATAACAATGCCTTTCTTGGTTCTTGCTATCTCCATATCAAGAAAATATCTCATTGTTCCAAGGTCGTTGACTTCAAATTTAGTGGCAAACACCTCTTTGATTTTGGGAATTTTCTTTTCATCATCATCAGTCAGAATCATATCATGTACATATATTATCAGTGCATCAATTTTACCTTCCTAAAGCGTATGATCAGTTTGACATTTAGAATGTACATTAGATCTCATAATTTTATCAAACCTTTCAAACCATAGCCCTTTTGATTGCTTAAGCCCATAAAGAGACTTCCCGAGTTTGCATTACTAGGTGTTTGTTGGAATCATTCTCAAATCCTGGTTGTATCTCAATGTACACTTTTTCTCCCAAATTCTCATTCAAAAAGTCACTTTTTATGTCAAGTTAAAGCAGTTTTCACTCTTTGTTAACTGCTAATAAAAGGAGACATCTGATAGTGTTCATTTTGACAACCAGTGCGAAAGTTTACTGATAGTCAATCCCATAAACGAGTGAAACTTTTTGTAATAATTTTGACTTTGAATCTCTCAATACCCTCATCAACTATATATTTGATGTTGAATACCCAATTGTATCCAATGGACTCCTTATATTGAGAATGTTTAGTAAGAGTCCATGTATCATTATGTCTTAGTGCTTGAATCTCTTCTTTAACTGCTTCATTATGCATTTTCAAGGGCTTCATCAAGTATTTGCACACAATCAAGGTTTGATACAAGTGCTCTATAGGCGGAGAATAATCTTCTAATTTATAATGGATTTGCCAACAAAAATTTTTATTGATTGATCATCCAAGATACCTAAGTTAAAGACCTCCCCTTTTCCTTATAGCTGGATCACAAAAAAATTATACCTTCACCAACATGTCTACAAAAAGCCACCTCAATGCCAAAACTTAAAAAAGGGTTTCAGGAGTTTTCAATGTAATTATGAGATTTTGGGAATTCTCCTCCTACAAATTGGAATAGATTTAGAGTACCATTAAAAACCATTATAACGAAGATGTTCAAACATAATTTAAAATTTTAGAGGGACTTCAAAAGTAGTCTTAGGCACATCATAACGGTAATAAGAGTATTGATGAATCCATTCACTACTATCTATATGAGAAAGATCATACTTTTTCTTTATGATCATCATATTCAACTTTTTTGTGGTCGATGCATAATCTCATAGTGCAATTTTCTTTATTACAAATAAAGTTAACGGTCTCTAAGGTGAAATACTTGGTCTGATGAATTCTCTGACAAGCAATTCTTGCAATTGTTTGTTAATCTCCTGAAGCTTTACAGTCACTATATTATATATCTTTTTAGAAATTGTAGTGGTATCCAAAACTAGATTTGTGGTTTCAATAATAAATCATTAGAAAAACTTGTGCATATTCTCGAACTATTAAGAATACTCTCTAAACTAGAAATATGTTTATCAGTATCCGCTACCTGACAAGATAACCAATACACCAAAGTAAACACATATTTTGGGCTTTAAAAGGAGGCGGCGTTTTTTTCAGTTCTAGCAAGAGAGGTTTTTGTCCATAGCAAGGAAATGACTTCTTTTCCACTTAAAACTCCAACTCCCCTCTCATTTTAAAGATATATATGATTATTTAATAACATACCTCCATTATAAGTTTAGAAGATAGATATGCAAGTACATATGAATTTAGTGGTATGTATGTATGTACATCATCCTCTATATATATATATTCTTGGAGTATTTTTTTGAAGTCCTGCAGAGCTAAACTAACCCAAAATCTTAAATTTAAAGACAACATTTGATAATCTCTACTTTTATCGCCTGCCCTCTTCATTTAATCAACCAAAACCTATTCTTTGTTCACTAATCTATCTATAGCTAAAAATTGCGCCATTCAATATCTATATTGAACTATAGCACATGGCTAACCTTTATTATCTATATTGAACTATAGCACATGGCTAACCTTTATGATCATAATTCTTATGCAGAATTACCCTTTTTTTTTGTCACCTTAAATGTCAGGTGGTTCTATCAAGGATCAAATATGGTCCAGCCAGGTATTGGCCAATACTAATCATATTCTGGTTTCTTGTTTTCGGTATCTGGGCTTCGAGAACTCATCGCGCTCACAATGCATGAAACGAATATTGCTTTTATTTTTCTTTCTTATTTTTTTTTTAAATTTCATTTCTATTTATTTATTTATTTATTACACTATGGTGATGTAGTCATGTTATATTACTTCTACTAATTTTGTTGTGTGGTTATATTTCTGTACAGAGCTGGGATTGTGGTGTAATACTTCATGTAGTTATGCTCTGTGCAGGCCTAGTTTAGTTGCTTTAAAACTATGTATAATTTCATTTTTTAGTTCGACTTTTATTCCATTTGATTTCTTCTTAAGCACAAGCAAACTTTTATATAACTTTAATAAATCTAATCATATGTATATATCTATAAATATTTATTTCTCAGTCAAAAACTAAGTAAAAATAATATTATTTACATTATAAAATAAATATTTAATAAAAATAATAATATTCTAAGCAAGTTTCCTATGTGTTCTTCACATTTCTTAATTGAAGGCCTCTTTGTTAGAGATTTTTATAGCTCTTGTTTAGCAGTTATATGCAGAATCTGTATTTATACCAACCAATTACTATATATTTACATATCTGACACTTAAACTTTGCTTTTTCAGTTTTCACGATTACACTAATATCTTTCATATGGCATTAAAAATATAATCATTTTAGTTTTAAAAAAATTAAAATGCATCTTTTCATGCTAAGATAAATTTATAATTTGGGTGAAATTGTCTGCGTTCGAAATTGATCGTGTATTGTGTATTCGTGTTTGACTTGATTTATATATTTTATTTGTGTTCGGTTAGTTTATACTAATTAAAAAAATAGAAGGCATAAAATTATATATATATATATATATAAGATTGTTCAGAGGTTATGATACGAGCCCCCAACCAACATCATGTGTCTAACCACTCGACTTAAACGCACATAAGTGGATTATATATATATATAATTCAAAGAATAATTCAACTCTAAATTGACACATATAGCATTGTTTTGTCTGACAAATAAAACGCTGCATAGAATAGAGCTGAAACAATGCTTATTATTCAAATCAATATTGTATTAATTCATTGATTTCTCGAAACAATTGAAGCCTCTTGAGCAAATAAACTTAAAATTAATAAGGTGAAGTAATTAACTCCTACCAATAAAGCTGCAACTACCTGCCAACAGTTGGAGGGAAGAATTAATCCAAGACGCACTTTAGGGAGGTAGAAGATGCTCCACTTCACCAATGCCTTGTCTCAAACGCTATATGTTATTTCTTATTATTTATTAATGGAAGTTTTTGTCTTAAAAAGGGAGAATAAATCTTCTCCCATTCATGGCATTTACATACTTACCCACAATTTTTAGATATTTACATGTCTGGCACCTATCTTTCATATTTAGGTGCATAACACTCAAATATTTTACAGCACATGCAACGTATCAGTCAAAAACATTTTAAAAGTGAAATACACCATTTCATGCATAATTTGTTAATGAACGTTAATATCAACTTTCGGTGTTAGATATGTAAATCCATAAGATTTGTAGGTGTGGCATGAATGTAAGAATGGTAGTTATGAACACTTCATGCTTGAGACTTCCATGAATCATACTAACAAAATAGATCTACCAAAGAAGCTAAAAATTTTATTTTTTTATTTCATCTTAGAGACAGAGCAAGTCTCCCAACATCCTTTTGTTATATCCACATAAGCAGCTGAAACAATCAATCAGCAGCCATTCTTAAGGGCCTCCTGTATCACATTCCGCTGCTCCTCACTAAGTTTTGTCGGAAATCGAATCTGAAACCTGATCCTAAGGTCTCCTCTCCTATCCTTCTTGTTTGCTAGCGGCATGCCGTGGCCTTCCATAACCTTCTCATAACCTGGATGAATTATCTCATCGCGGAACGAAAGAGTCATCTTCTCCCCTGTTATGAGGAAGAAGGAGAAGGTCCAGCCGGTGAGGGCGTTCACAAGAGGGATCTCTATTTTCAGCACAAGGTCGTCACCAACTCTCTTGAAGAAAGGGTGCTCCTTTTCAGCTATCATGTAGATTACATCAGCTGGAAGGCATCCCGGTCGTTCATCCCCCATTCCTTCGAACGTGATCTTCGTCCCTTTCTGCCATCCGGGTTTCACTTTGATCTTCTGTGTTTCTTCCTTTCGAATAACGGAACTGTCATTTAGAGAATTGATATGAATGTAAATATTACATTAGTTTACATTAGGAGTAAGTCCAGCCATGATGAGAAATAGTATGTATTAATACAATATACATATGTTGATATTGGCTTGGAAGTATTAGGGCCATCAAAAATCCGATTTTGAGGCGACCCGGGGTCGGGTCGAAATCAGCTCGAAAATTATTCGATTTAAAATTTTGGCTTGTCGCTCAGCTCGTTTATGTTGATCTGAACTTGATCCAAGCTAAAATTCTAATCAATTTTTGACGATTACTAATCTACAAGCTAAATTCACTAAATTCATAGCCTTAACATCAGTAGGGTTGTTAGAGATCCGATTTCAAGCTGATTGCAAGTCGGCTCTTAATCGACTCGAAAAAATTTGATCAAAAAATTTTGGCTCGTAGATCAACTCATTTATTTCGATCTGATCTCCATCCGAGCCAAAATTCAAATCAATTTTCAAGCGCTTAACGATCTTCAATCTAAATTCACAGTCCTAGTAACTATAATCCTATATCCAACAAGCTCAGCCTAAGCTACAACCCAATTTTTATATATTTACATATCTAAAACCCAAAACTTGCTTTTTTATATTTATACCTCCAAAGTCTTCCACTTCACACAAAAAATATCACTATTTAAATTTTAAAAAGTGAAAATACACATTTTCATGCATAGGTAAGAAGGTATATATGTAAAAATTGAAGTTTAGGTGTTACACATACAAATGCATTGGAATTGAATGGTATGCAAATATTTCTAAAATATGTCAAACAAGGCATTAACTGAAATATATTAAACATGAAATTTTACAATACATGTATAATAATTGATATAAATATAAAGTTTGACATTTTCAACTCTTCTCACTAGGACACACAAATTTAAGCTCTATGGAATCATTATAGTCATATTAATTACTGAGAAAAAGAGGAGCAGAGAAAAAGGAGTTCATCAAATATGAAATTGTTGACAAGTTAAGCACTAGACCAAGTCGTTTTTAAGATGCCAATATGGCTAAACCTCAAGTAGAATTCAGCAAAATTACCCTTTTTCTGCAATCAGTTCATTTTTTAAAGACTTTTTTTTTTGCCACATCAATTAAAGCCAATAATAGATCTTGCAAACTTTCAACAATTGTCTGAAACATTCTTTCAGAAACACATTAATTTAGCTTGTTTTGCTCTCTTGTGTTGGCAAGATTACAGTCTAGAAGGTGTTGCAAGAATTATAATTGTTGTGATATTAATATGAGTAATTGAATGACAAAGCCAATGGTATTAAAAATTTCATTTTTTTTAATATAACAAATTTATTAAAATTAGCATCGAATCAACTAAAATTGTTTGTTAAATAGAACGTTGTGATATTAATATGAGTAATTGAATGACAAAGCAAATGGTATTAAAAATTTCATTTTTTTAATATAAAAAATTTATTAAAATTAACATCGAATCAACTAAAATTGTTTGTTAAATAGAAGATCTAAAATTCATAAAACCTCTCATGTTAAGTTGTTTTTCTGCATTCATACAATTGAATATTTTCCGACTGCAAAACCAAACAGCCTTTAATTAATTTTATTTCTGTTTTGCTTAAATAGAAACAGGATACACAAAACATTTACCAAATAAAGACTAATCCGCCATGTAAAAGACTCAAAGATGTATTCTTTTAAAGAAAATATATATCTTCCTCCTATATTCATTGCTGAACCCTTAAGCAACACTGCTATCACTTCAAATTCATTGAAGCTCTACTGCGCTGCTTTTAAATGCTGAGAATTCAGTAAAAGAACCCCAAAAATTTTTACAAAAAGAAAAAAAAAGTTGAAAGCCTCCAATCATCTTACGAGTTTAAAAACAACAATTCAGATTCACAAGACAATCAGCATAATAAAAAGCTCAATCAGAATCTGAAACAAAAAAAGTTAAGTGAAAGAATAAAATACCCATTCACAACAACATCTCTGTCAAAGCTGATTTCCTTCTTGCAGCCATTAAAAAGTTCCTCAAGCGTGCACTCCAGCTTCCTCTCCAAAGGCGGCGGCTTTCGCGATGCAGGAGCGGAATTAGAACCAAAGCCGGACTTTTGCGAAGAGGACGTGTGGTGCACATCCTTAGGTTGGCTGCGAGGTTTCCTATTATCCTCCTCACCGCGAAAACTCGCAGCCGGTGCCGGCGCCGGCGGCCTGCTCCGGGAACGATTTGGTGCTCCTACTCCGCCACCGCTGTCATAGTCTACAAATAGCGGTTTGCCCTGGATTTCAATAAGGGCCTGCTGTCCGCCATGAAAACCTTGAGAAGGAAGGAAAGGGGAAAAGGAAAAGTAAGTAAAGTTAGGGTTTTTAAGTACCTCATAGGCTTCTGCGATGGCTTTGAACATTGCTTCCGCTTCGGGTTTGGTGGAAATAGGATGTTTGTCGGGATGCCATTGCTTGACGAGAGTCTTGTAGGCTTTGCGGATTCGTTGAGGGGAAGAGTTCTTGGGTATGTTGAGGACCTCGTAGAAGTCTCGAGGTTTTCCCATGGCGGAATTGAAGGGAGAGGGGAACCCTAAAAAGTGCAACTTTGGGTTCTGCTTTTGCTGGAGTGATGAAGAGGGAGGGGGAGAAAAGCCAGACTGAAAATAGTGAGAGGGCCGAGGGTCATTTATGGTAGGAGTGGAAGAGGCAGCGGATTTGAGAAAATATTGTCATATTTATAAAATATGTATTTAACTTGATGACAAACGGATGAAGTGATCATGACACATATAAATCGAATTAAGATAACTTGACCATTTCATCGGTCATTATAACATATATTTACAAAGCATGTAATATTTTCTTCAAAAATTAACCTGATACATCAACAAAATTCGAACTAGACTTAAAAAAATTCTTGTTCAAGTTGACTTAAATATTTTTCGAGTTGGGTTCGGGTTAGAGATATTCAGGTCAAGTTCGGATCGACTTAATTTAGGTTAGGTCATTTTTGGGTCGGAACTGAACCCGATCTCTCCCAATCTCTCCCAAATTAACATCTCTAAGTATTAAAATTTTCCTTGACACGCCAATACTACTCAAACTCGACTCAAAAAAATCTGGGTTTGGGTTGACCCAAATATTTTTCAGTCGGGTTCATGTCATAGAATTTGTCTTGTTTGGTCGGGTTCGGGTTGACCCGATCCCGACCAGGCGGCCCTAATTGACATCCCATGGAGGGAGAGGACTATAACCTTAAATCAGATCGAATTTTAATTTTTAATTTCTTTTGAACTTATAAAATATAGATTATAATAATTTTTTTTGGTAACCGTTGCTCAATAGCTCATAAACTCTTCAACTCATACTCAACAACTCATTAACTCAACAATGATACTCAATAGCTTAACAACTAGGTAACTATACTAAATAACTTTTCAACTTATCAATTCGACAAGCTTTATTAGGAGGCTAATGTTTAAGTTGGACAAATGATTAAATATCATTAAAAAAAATTATAATTTTAAATTATTAAAATAATTAAAAAAGCTATATATGATTGATTTTTGTTAACATACTTATGTGATAATATTAAAATCAATATTTAGGAAATTAAATTAGCTTGAATCATTTTTGGAGGGCTTTGATTTAGTTAAGCAATCAATTAATTTAAGAGATTATGCTTACTTAGGAAAGCTTCATTTAATATAACTTTTGAGTTTATTTCTCCAAATAAAAATATAATAATAATATTTGCATAATTATATGGGGGCATATATAGTCAAATTTTCTTAGCATTACTTGTAGTAATTAATCATTCAAGTTTCAAACATTTCTTTCCATATGTGAATAAGTTTCAAGCATTTCTTTTAATAAGAGATTGTTTTTCTTAAAAAAAAAATACTAAAAGACCTTTGATTTTTCTTGCTTGGTCCTAATCTTCACCAAAATAAATTGCATAAAAAAACTTTGTGAAACACTTTTAATTTTAGATTAACAATTTATGAAATTTCTATTCTTGATATTTAGGACAATATTTGGCTCTATGCAATTTTTTTTCTATCCATGATAGCATTTTTCTCCGTAGTCTCTTCTCTTTTGTTATTTTATCTCAATAAATTTTAACATGAATAATTAATTTTCTTATATCGATGAAAATTCTTTGAAGCAAAAATTTCTCAAAATCAATCTGGATGCATGCCTGCCAAGTCTATTATAGAAGCTATATATTTATTGAGAGGTTTGATGGAGAAGTACAGAGGGAATAAGGAGGATAGATTTAATTTTTTGTTTATTTAGAAAAATATTATGGTAAGGTTCTAAAATAAGAACTTCAGAGAGTTTTAAAAAATAAATGTGTTAATATTGCTTATATTTAATTAATTAGGGATTTGTATACTAGAGTTGTTACTTGTATTTGAATACAAGAAGGATTAACCAAGTATTTTCCTATTTCAGTTGG